CCTCTAACTTTTGTAAATAATTAAACCATGAGTTAATTGAAGCAAGACCATCATGGAAAACCTGGAAGCACTGGACGACCGTTTCATCCTATTGTGGGACTCCTCAGCAGTGCGTACCCACGATCCTGCCTTGCGAGATGCCAGATGCCGGCTCAGTGGTTTAGTGGTTGAGTGCTCGCGCGCGAGACTGACAGGTCCTGGGTTCGAATCTCGTGAGGCGGGATCGTGGATGCTCACTGCTGAGGAGCCCCACAATAGGACGAAACGGCTGTCCAGTGCTCTCAGATTTTCCATGGTGGTCTAGCTTCAATTGACTCACGATCTCAACTGTAAAATAATTAAACGTCTATTTATTAAAGACATTCGGGATGAAAATTTGTACGAATTATATTGCTGATTTGATTACTTATAAAAAACACTGAGATTTTATACTAAGTAAGTTAGTCTATCAGAAACAGTGTGGAACCTATATTAAAATCTTTATTAGTTCAGATAATCTTTCACCAATTGTACACAGTTAGCAACAAAATGGCTAATAAAAAGATGAAACAATAATCTAAGAGATATTTGAATAATGTATCCAGTTTCATAAAGTGATTAATTAGTTCACATAATAATAATATTGCATATTGACCAAAATCGATGTCTTTTAAACTGTAAATAGACTAATAAAACCCAAAACTTTGGTAGCTATTTAGCTCGTCACCTAAAAACTGATCTACTGTGTTTGCAAACACCTCTGTGTTTTTATTACTTAATATTATCAGTTAAACGATTTGAAAATATAAATTCACTTGGTGTTGTTTACTTGTATCTTCCCATCGTTATTTTGGACTGCAATTGATCAGTCTCTTGTTGGTATATGTACACCCTATGCGGACTGTCTCGATATTGCCTGAAGTCACAAGCTTTATAAGCAGTGATGAATGGTGGCTAGCATTGGAATCCAGGACACGCGTTTCGTTTTATTCGGGACTCGTCAGCTGGATGTACCTGCATCTCAGAGTTGATGTTCACTCTGGGACTCGAACCCAGTACCGTTCACTTCAAACGTCATCGCGTTATCCACTTAGCTACTGAGTCTTGATAGCCAGAGTGATAACGCAGAGTGAATATCAACTCTGAGATGCAGTTACATCCAGCTGTCGAGTCCCGAATAAGACGAAACGCGCGTCCTGGATTCCAATGCCAGTCACTGTCCATCTTTGCTTGTAAAATTTGGAAATATGGTTCGTTTTTTTAATTTTTCAGTTATGGTGAACTGACAGATATAAAGAAAATAATTTCGGCGTTTATGAGTCCTCTGAGCCAGATGGTTTGATTAAGAAACTATCCCTGCCATTCTAGACAACATTATCAACATTCACTCTGTATGGAAGTAAGCTCCTGATGTATTCCACTTCTAGAAATGATGAAGATCTTCTCAGAATGATAATAAAAGCTACCTGATCAAACAGTTTTGCTCAGAGAACTCGATAACACTAAAAGCAACTACCTGAGCTAAAAATTACAGTTTCAAGGTAAGTAAAACTTTGTGAAATTTTTAATCCAAGATGATTGCTTACACTAGTCAGAATCTGGTTAAATTACTATAAGAGTAAAACTTTCTAAATGCTTTTCAGATAAATTCTAGTTCGCAATGAAAATTTACATTTTCGTAGATAGATGTATTCACAAACCAGTTAGAAGTGATTTATTGAACTTATCTAACTTCCTATAAAGTAAAACCATGTGTGGTATTAGACAAATTGTAAAATGCTTGTACATTAACAAACCTGTATGTTCATAATTTTAGTATAACAAGTTAGATAATACCAGACAATTGCAAGATGAAAGCCTCAATAGCTACTAAATCGTAAATATAATTCAATTATCAATTCAATCACTTTTATAGCAAATTTGTCTATATAGTTGTTTGACATGTTAACTTATACAGGAGTGATAGGTCCTGGGATCGAATATCGTGAGACGGGATCGTGGATGCGCACTACTGAGGTGCCCTACAATAGGACGAAACGTATGTCCAGTGCTTCCAGACTTTCTATGGTGGTCTAGCTTTAATTGACCCATGATTTCAACTATGTTCAAATGAATGTTAATTATACAACGTTCTATTAGATCAGTGAAGAACAGTTGTAAATTGTAAGATTTTTGAACCGTAAACAATTTGAAATTTACTTATGCTTTCAGGATCTGGTTCATATCTAATATGATTATATCAGCTAGAAATGAGTGAATATCAAAAATATTGAATTTTTATACAGAAAAAAGATAGGTTAAAATTTTTTCCTTATTTTAGAATTAAACAATAAATATGTTTTAAACTTGACCGATAATCCAATAAACCAGTATGACACTCAATGGAGAAGGCGAGTGAGCCAACTCGATCTAATCAAGCGTGAATCGATATTTATAGTCAGACAAGAATTAGTTACAGACGTGTGATGAGTGGGATAAGAAATGCACACACACACACACGCTCATAAAGGAACAGTTAATGCCGATAAGCGGATAATTAACAAGGACAAAATATGACTCAAGAAGAATGAATAAATTAGCCTATCCTGAAGCTAGAATAAGCCATGTTGGCTTGACATAGTAACCAAAACTACAATGTCACGATGACATATCAAAACCCTTAAAGAGATTATAAAGAATGTTTGGCCCCCAAATCCTCTAGTATGGCAGAGAATAGGGAGGGTCCGCCCTCCCTCTCACGTATACAGCATCTACCATCGAAGTCCTACTCACTGTCTTCTCGTGGCGAGGTAGTTGTTTGCGAAATCAAGAGGACGAAAACCTAATGCCCGGAGTTATAGCCGGGTTGGTGGATACTGAGAGTTCACCTAGGGGAGTTGGAAAACCCTGATTCCAAACCAATAGTGCACATGGACTCCAGGATCCTGAGGGAACAAATGACACATAAACCAATCATCGGTCACCGGATACCATGCAACTGCATCTCCTTACGTTGTTCCACTGCGTTGTGGATCAGATCTTTAGTCAAAGGCTCGGGGTGTAGTCCCCTAAGAAGACCACCTGTTTTGATTCGGACACCCAGACATTATCATAGCCCTTACGCAATTAAATGTGATAACTATTTTTTGTGTGGCGCATATGTATCTGGTGCCCCCTTGTACCAATATTTGTGTTCAAATAAATAAAATAAATGTACAAAGTAGTGAGTAATAAGTGAGCTCATTAGTTAAGTCTTTATTTTATTATTTGATGAATGACCTGTAGATTATAATCCTTATAATTTGCGTTTCCAAAAATAAAGAATATTTGAAAGAACAACTTTTCAATAGCTTCATCATAAGGCCCCCTAGTTATAGATCCATAATTATTATGGTATTTTACAATGCTCAAAATAAGCCATTTAAGTCTTAAATAAATTTTAATTATGTTTATTTTTGTACCAAACACTTTGTATGCAAGCGCACATACGTTTTTTTACGTAAAACAATCCATGTTCTTCCAACCAGTTATTTTGTTTTCTAAAATCTATTTTTGGAAGAATCCACGACAGACAACAGCGTTTTATGGGTAACTATTGAATCGGCTACATATTGCACATATAGTGGCTGGTAAAATTACAAACCCACATAGGTTATACTAACTTTTGGATAAACTAGTTGATTCATTCTTCTTGAGTCACATTTTGACCTCGTCAGTTATTGGTTTATCAATCTTGACTAATTTTAGGTTAACGTGTGTGTATTGCTTATCTTATTCATCACATGTCTGTAACTTATTTTTAGTCTGAATATAAGATATTTAGTCACACTTAATCAAAAATGAGTTGGTTCACTCGGCATCTCCTCTGTGCGTCGCTTTGCTTCGTTTCGTTTCGCTTCCTTTACTTCGTTTCCCTGATTGTCTGTCTGGATCAATGGGTGTATAAAATATACGTATTTAAAATTTCGTCCTCGTATTTGACCTACTTTATTCCATTACTCTCTAACGCGAATTAAGTTGATAAAAATATATAAGGGTTAGCGGTATGTAAATTTTGTTAACAATCACCATACGATTTAGTTGAAGCCACTAAAATATCAATTCAAGCTATTAATTGCAAATTATACAATCGTACAGTATTCTGAAATTGTACCAATTTATAGTTTATAGTATATGTAAAAATAGCAAGAATTATTTGAGTAGCTTATAAAACAGCATTTCCAAATCCCATGTTTCTTATTTTTAAAAATATAGGTAAACTTATTCGAACAAAAACAAATTAGAATTAAAACCACTAAACTAATGAAAGATAGTCGTGGATCAACAGAAGTTCAAAATTAACACTGCTGAATTCCAGCTCATTGGTCAATAGGTTGTTGTTGTTGTTGTTATGCAACCCTTCATCGATTATCTGAGGTGGATAACTCTCTCACATCTGACCCGGCCGAACTTCACTGGTCACAGCTTCTCACTAGAACCCTGAAAATTATCTCGCAAAGGTTGTTACTGGTGAGCACATGATGGTCGCGCAATATCGTATATTGGTTAGAGTTATATATTAGAGCCATTAGATCTCGGCTCAGTAGTCTAGAAGCTAAGTGTTCGTACAAGACTGAAGGTCATAGGTTCGAGTACCGCGTGCATGACTGTATATACACACTACTGAGTAGTCACATACTATAACGAAACGGCAGTCCAATACTTCCGAAACTACGATGGTGGTTTACCATTGATGGGTTCATGATCTCAATAATAATTCATATCAGCTTGTATTAAATATGAATATATGCTAACAGAAAGTTGAAATATTTGCTAGGATTAAGAATCAAGATGAATAAAAAGTATTTTTTAAAAACATTGCTAAAAGAAATCTTATTTCGGTACAATCAATCTACTAATAGCCAAGTTTCTTTGGCTACAATATTTTCTAAATAAAACTCTAAGGCTATTTGGTGGAAAGAAAAGGTTTGAATATTTGAATATTCAGTTAATCCAATAAAAGGTAGGTTTCTAAACAAACCAAAAAAATGAAAGATAATTTTCATTTATTTTTCAATATCACTTTTTAGTCAAGGATTTTCACTTTAAGTCTTCAACTAGATTCCAATTAGACAATTTAGATAAACAAGATTTCAATGAATTACTATCATATTGGATAATGTTATAATATAATTTACACCAATAATATATAACTGAATCGTCTTATTATATGATTGGTCAAATTCAAGGTCATAGCTTGATGTGCTATATTTGAATATATGCTCAGTTTATTACTCACCCCTCTTCCAAAAATTTACAAATATTTTATATCCAATTCATTATTATTGAATCTAATTCTTATTCATTTAGTTGTTGAATTTAATTTATCAGAGAATTCTTAACATACCTAATACGTTTAAACTTTGAAACATACCCTATTGTCAGTTGTTCTGTTGAATAAATGTAAGTTAATTGTAATGATTAGTTGTTTTGGTTATGTTTAAGACCTAACTGTGTTCTATTACTTCTGTTTACTTTTTATAAAACATTAAAAATGTTTGAATGAGTGAACATTAACTCTGAGATGCAGGTACATCTAGCTGACGAGTCCCAACTAGGACAAAATGCGCGTCCTGGATTCCACTGCTAGCCACTGTCTATATTTGCTTATTAAAAATTTTTTTTAAAGTAAATTAATCTTTGAACCATGAATTTATATCAGTTTACGTTTATGGGGATTGTTGAGTTTCTATTGAGATCATTTATCTAATAATGTAAGATCATCACTGAAAACCTGAAAGCACTGGAAGGACGTTTCTTCCTGAGGAGTCCTATACTAAGAAGAAATAGCCATCTAATGTCTACAGGTTTTCAATGATGATCTAATATTAATTTATAACTGTTATTAATAAATAATTTATATAACATTTTAATTATTATTATTGGTAATGGTGGATTTCACCTCGAATAAGCACTAAGTAAGTATTTAATAGTTGAGATCACGAATCAATTGAAGCTAAACCACCATGGAAAACCTGGAAGCATTGGAAGGCGGCTTCGTCCTATTGTGGGACTCCTCAGCTAATCTTTATAGCCAAGAAATTATTAATAAAAAAATCATTTGCATTAAATTATATTATGATCACTTACCTATTATGTATTGCATTAATTCAATCCCCAATAGAAAATGCTTTCAGATTTACAATCAAGTGCCTTATATCTGTTTTATTATGTAGACAGTGCATATTTATTATGCTGATAGATATTAATTGTTTATACATGTAATTGTAGAAAAAAGGTAAATAATTCAACTGAAGTGTGTGGATGAGATTTGTAGGTTGTAGGTTCAACAGTATAACTGATAGTATCAGACTCTTTAGAAGGACGAAACACTTGTCCAGTGATCAACTGAGATCAGTAGGCTATGAGTTCACCAATCTTTACAGAATGACTTCAATTGAATAGACTGTACGTTTGGAAAATAAAAAGATTGCAATGTGAATTAAATTATCAATGTCATTAAAGCAGAACATTTTCTAGATCTTATCTTGAAGGTAAACGTATCTAATATTTTGTCTTGTCCTGAACATCAAATATAATTTAAATTCACATTAATCATTAGGATCATTTTAGTTTTGATGTTACATGGTTGAAAGTTATCTGCACAAAAACCCTGTACCTAGGTCTCATCTAAACTTTCATTTGTCAATAATGCATACAGTGAACTGACACTGACTGTATTATTCAAACCTACTTCACTATATGTCCTAACCATAGATGCTATCAGTAAAAATCAAGAATTATTTGATCACTTAATTAGTGTCTTTAGTTGTCTTTTTATTATACGATGTAGATATTCGGACCAAAGTAGGTAAAGCTATTCTCAAACTTGCAGTATGAAAATTGAAAGCCCAAACTATGGTTCATTAATAACCACAGCAGTCAAATTGAATGATCATAAATATGTGTAAATCAAATCAACTATCTTTCATACATCTAATAAGTCTTATACTAGAACAAAATGGCTATTTATTACTTCCAGTTGTTCTATGATGATCTTTCTAAAATTGGTTCATAGTTTTTAAAATACTCAATTACCTCTACAAATCCCCTATACTAGTGACTAACTACTCATTAGCTTCAATAGGCTATTCCTAAAGTTCTAATAAGAAATCATGACCAATTCAGTTCGACCATGTTGGGTGAAAGATAGCTCTCCACAGTAGCCGATAGACTACAGTTTCTCATTTTCGTGAATTTATTAAAGTTAGACATATTTACCATCGGATACCGTCTCAGTTGTTTAAAGGTTAAGAGTACATGTGGAGTTGTTGATACCTACTACTCAAAAATGTCACACTACAACCAAAACACTATCGAATGCTCCCAAGTTTTTGAATAATGATGTAGCTAAAAATCAGTTCAGGATTCCAATTATGAAAATAAGACTCAATTTTATCTTTTTAATTCCCTGATTATTTTCAATGCTTACAGCATAGAAATCATTTCTATCTGTTCATAATAGATACAATAGTTGGTCAGTTTATTTTTACATTTATCAATAACTTAGATATAGAAACTTATATCTTTATAATAAAGTAAAAAAATATTTGTATAATAGTTTATCACGAAAATAAGATAACGGTTACAAAATGGAAGATATAATAATAATTAAAAAATTGATCTAGAATTTTCTTAATCGATATAAGAAATAAACAATTTGGTAGATTGGTTGAAGTTAGACATTAACACCATTGGATGCCGGCTCAGTTCTCTAGTGGTTAAGCGATCTGGCGTGAGTCTGTTAGGTCCCCCGTTCGAATCTCGTGAGCTGGGATCGTGGATGGATGCGCAATGCTGATGAGTCCCACAATAGGACGAAATGGCCGTCCAGTGTTTCCAGGATTAGCATGGTGGTCTAGCTTTAATTGATTCATGATTTTAACTATGAAAACAAATAATTAGTACTCTATATTTGTAATGGTAAATGTTTGAAATTAACGAACCTGAGTATTCTATGTTAAAAGATGAAAAATTAGATTGTAAACGGATTGATGATGTGAGTAGATGATTTATGTTAAATGAATTTTCAACAATAGTAGTGTTAAGTTTAGTTGCATAATTTGAATTGACATCTTCTTTGTATCCTATCTGGAATGTTATCGAATCAATTAGAGGAATTAGTAAAGGCCTAGGTGTTTATTTTATTTCAGTCAGTAAATATTGTATAAGAATAAAACGATGATCAAACTGTGAAGTAATATATTCTAAGTAATAGATTCTAAGCAATAGATAGTAATACAACTGGAGAACTGGAACTGAAAACAATTGTCAATCAACACCAAGTTCAGAATTTTCAATTCAAATGTCAAGACAGTTCTACTGTATGGGGAAGAAGCCTGGAGAGCTATGAAAGCCATTATCCAGAAGATACAAGTGTTTAATAACAGTTGCCTAAGCAATATACTTCGGATCCGATGGCCAGACACTATCAGCAACAAGTTACTGTGGGAGACAACAAACCAGATTCCAGCGGAGGAAGAAATCAGGAAGAAGTGCTGGAAGTGGATAGAACACACATTGAGGAAATCACCCAACTGCGTCACAAGACAAGCCCTTATGAGGAAGACTAAAGAACACATTACGCCAAGAAATGGGGACAGACATGAGAAGAATGAACAAAAATTGGATAGAACTAGAAAGGAAGGCTCAGGCCAGAATGGGTTAGAGAATGCTGGTCGGTGGCCTATGCTCCATTGAGAGTAACAGGTGTAAGTAAGTAAATTAAGATAGTAACAAGGTCTAAATGAAGTTTCGTTCACACAAATAATTCTTGTACAATAGGAAGAAACGGCCGTCCAATGCTTCCAGATTTTCCATGATTGTCTAGCTTTAATTGAATCATGATCTCAAATATATTTTAAATATTTGCTGAAAGCTGAAAATAGAAAACTAATACTAAGAAGCATGGAATTCAATTAAGGAAATTATAATACAAATTTGTAGTAATCAATCATCATTACTATAAATATGAATCAGAAATTATTATGTAGTTCAATTACAAAATTCATTTAGTCCTTACTACATATAGATATGATTGAATATATTTCAATAAATTTATAGAATTTTACGTAGAGTTCAAGATAAATGACAATTATGTTCGTAGTGTCAGGAAATTTGCAGAGATGTTTAGCCTTCATAGTTTATATCAAGGGATGATTTTAGCTAAACAAACAATGAAAACGAGGAAACGCTGGACAGCAATTTCGTTCCAATGTAAAATTTCTCAATAATCCACATCCACAGCTTTATCGTGGACAGTACTCAGAACCTTTAATATCACTGCAAGCGTCTGACTTTTAGACTATCGAGCTAGTAAAATAAATTTCAACAGCTACTAAAAGACAAATAAATGAATGAAATCAAATTGATAAAATCAAATTCAAATCAAATTCAAGATCGAATGTCACAACGAAAAGTATTAGGTAAATGATACATTACTCTAGATGATTCGATTTTATCCACTACATAACCCCTATCGACCAATTGTGACAGAATAAAGCTGCTTATTATTTTGGTCATAATTTTTACAAACTGTAAAGATAAGTAAGAGAGAACCTCAATGTTTGGATGCAGCTACATCCATCTGAAGAGTCCCGAATAGGACGAAACGCTCATCTTAGATTACATTGCTAACCACTATCATCTCAGCTTATAATTCGAAGATGGGTGTTCGTTAGTTCACTATATCAGTTGTCTAGTTTTACTCCTGACACGGTTTTCTCCGCAACAGCAGCTGAAATTGTAGATATATATGGACGTTACTTATTTATATATGTAATCTGTTTGGTTGCTATCACTAATTCGTAAGATGCTTTGGTTAGGTTAATGTTTCAGACACATTTAAATCTTTCTGTATATTACAATAAAGTCTAATAAAGATCAAATTGAAAAATAACATTGTTCGCTGATATATGTTGTTCTAATAAAGTACCTGTTAGTGACTATCAATGAGTACATAGGAATAAAGATTAAGTAATGATATTAACACCGTTGGATGCCCGCTCAGTGATCTATCGGTTAAGTGATCTGGCGTAAGACTGGTAGGTCCTGGGTTCAAGTCTCGCGAGTGCGGGGTCGTGGATGCACATTGATGAGGAGTCCCATAATAAGACGAAACGGCCGTCCAGTGCTTCCAGGTTCCCCACGATGATCTAGCTTCAATTGACTCATGATTTCAACTATGAAAATAATGTAAATTTTACAATGCTTCTGTATATCTAGCAAACAGTAACGTAACATTTATTAACACCTTTATCATTAATTATGTTTATTTAGAATTCTTCTTACTCAAAACAAGCTCCAATTAGTTTACATAATAAAATTTCAAAATGTAAACCAAGATTTTTGAGTCAAGATTGAGACAATAGATTGTTATTTTGCAAATTAACTGTTTACTGTAT